TCGCATTTTCAAAATAAAGAGGCTTCGTGTACACTCTTCATGCGTATAAGCTTGTGTATACATGCCATATTATTGGCATCATGGCATGTGCACTTCGTCTTAAAAAATGGAAAAAAAAAAATCTTTGGTAGTATTGATATAGGGCCATTTGGGCGTTCACAAAAAGAATTTTTCTTTTCGAAAGCCAATTACAACCCATCGCTCTTTATCGAAATAAGAGGAACATCATATACATACAACAACTACATAAAATTACCATATAACCATATTGAATCATTTCAGTCAGTAACTCACAAAGCTACTGAATATGAATGTTTTTTGTTGTCAACATTTGCCATTGAATTGATGTAACCTCTCGTGCTAGACTGCTTGGGACGTCTTTGATTAGGGCCTTAAATACGTGGAAGATGGCCCTCTCTGTCGCCACCAACTCTTCCTCAACAATGAATATCACTTGACTTGATCAGTTATACGAAGTATTATCTTTCATATGGACGTGGTTTACATTCTCATGCGTCCACAACTCCACACGTACATTGTTCACGGTCCTTATTCAACTCCTGCATGAAAACAACTAACTGGAATCACATATTATTTGAATAGAAAAGCATTGATCGAGCATTGCTCGGGCTAATGTGACTAATGTGTACAAAACAAACGAAGCTCAAAAGTAGTAAACTAGTAAAGTAACGTCATTGAATCTGATACTATCCAATATATTTTCACGTAGACCCTAATTTTCTGGTTTGCTTTGATATGTTTAAATTCGGTCTGGTAAAGGTCTGGTATATATGTATTTTACTATGGTCTAAAATCTAAATATGGTACGAAACACACAAAGTCTCAAAAGTAGTAAACTAGTAAAGTAACGTCATTGAATCTGATACTATCCAATATATTTTTCACGTGGACCCTAATTTTCTGGTTTGCTTTGATATGTTTAAATTCAGTCTGGTAAAGGTCTGGTATATATGTATTTTACTATGGTCTAAAATCTAAATATGGTCTAGTCTGGTTTTGTCTAACACTGAAAGAGTCAAAGTGAAAACTTCCTGGGGATATTATAGAGATACTGTAGGGATATCACTAGAAATATTAATTTGATCAAGTCCGTGTTTGTTTGGGAACTTCACTATTCTTTCTTATTCTTTTCATACTCTGGCTTCAGTGCTTCCAACGAGCTCGCCACCAAAGTCTGGCGTTTCTCATGACTTCTGCTATACTCACATTAGCGCTTGACTTGGAAGAGCTGAACTGTTTTTCCTCTCTCAAGGGCCGCACTACTTCCCGTAGCATTGCTCAATGGTCATTCTTCAATCTTCATCTTGCTCCCATCTCATAATTCAGCTTCTAAAATTTACCAACGGCCGTACAGACTATGTTTTGATTTTTCTGAGCTCTCCTTACCAAATTAATATTTTGCATGGACTAGTTGAGTATTTTGACCACATCCCCTTATGTGTAAATGCGTAATGTAACAAATCTGACACATAAACTCTCCTATATATCTATAGGAAGAGGAGTAGAGGAGATTTATGGCTGAGTGACTGAGTCCAAATATTCACATACCTGAAGCTTTTCTTGGAGAGATTTTATATGCTGCACCGCAAAATCCAGCATATCTGCATAGCTTGTTTGCTGCAATCGTTAAAAATCATTGAGGCAAAACTTGATGTAGACCACAATAGACCATGCAATGAGCTTGCTCAACCAATTTAAAGAGATTTTAGAATGTGCAAAAGCCAACCATTCACAAAATAGTGTCATATTTTTACACTGAGAAACCAATAAACGATCTAGGCATCTAGTAGGTTTATTTCAAACAAATATAGGCAGGTAAATGAAGAGTTTGGTGACAATACTTTACCTTATCCATATTAGGGACAAGATCTTGCAACTTCTTTAGCTTTCCACTTATCCTGGTTCTTCTCTCCTGCATATAAAGATAAGGTGAGTTACCCAAACAAATTAATTAGCTCGAAATGTTAAACTCAACCACACATGAAAATAGCTAAAAACACCAATGACATTTTCCATAAATGTGGTGGTAATTTTATATTGCACCCAAAGAAGTGATATCACCCATCCTAATATCTTTATACTCCAGCCCAACAGGATGGTGGAGGTAAAGCGGTGAATCACGGTGTAATCTTACACTGTTCATAGATGTGATCTAGTATTTGGTGTGCACAATAGCCATCGCATTGGATGAAATCTGACAATGTCGGTGCGATTCGTACGCAGAGACCATTGCAGTAGTGCACCCAACAGCCTCTATGACGACCATGTGAGCTACCCGTGCGGGCATAATGGTCCTTTTCAAGAGAGAAGGTTGGAGGGTCAACCCAGATATATGTCCATACCAAGTTCACAAAAATTTACTCTGATTTTCTGGAGCCACATTTTTTTAAAATTGTGGTCTTGATTACCAAACTGGTCATTTTGTATTACGAAACTCTTCAAAACATGGAATACAGGAGCTCACTCTTTCTGCAATGCTACGTGGATGAGTAGCACAACCACGCTTAGCACGAACTTTGCATGGAACAGAAACTTCAGGGATGTGCAAATAGCTATCCATGGTTTCCATCTCCAGTAGTGCTTCATGCGGCATGCGAAATTGCAACTGAAAAGTGAATGATATCTATATATTCAATTTTCAATTATATTTTAACTTTTACCAATCAGTTTACATTGAAACAAGTCAACAACCACTTGAAATATAATGTAAAAATTGAAATGCAAAACACATAATCAATGCAAAAACATGATGGCAACCTTGTAACATGTACATGCTAGTCTATTCAGATGAATGAAAACATAAAAAATATGATCTGAATGATATTTATGAGAATCCCATGGCTTTAAATTAGCCATCCCAAGCTTCTTGTTATGTCATATAGATGCATGAGCCAAGTATAAAGATACAAATTCACTTAGACAGTTAAATTATTAGGTTTAACTCTTACAATAGAACCTTAGTATTAGATACAACTATACAGCTTGATAAATACTACGTATGATACAACCAAGACTCAAAACTAATATATAGATTTTAAGATTTATCTCCTTCAATGCAATGTAAGGTTTGACTATATTTAGCTCTTAAGGTCTTTGATTACTCATTAGCTCATATGAAGTTGACTTCTTAAGATAGAACCTTAAATTATAATATATGTGATCTATTTTATACAGGAAACATGCACAACCAAAGGTGGTGCACAAAGGACTTAACAATTCATCACCTGATTTTCCATCTCACCAAGGCTTCTAGAAATATCACAATTAATGTTCTTGGCTGAACTAAACGGAGTAACCGAACACATCACTGGCTGGATGTCATTTTCACGCCATGATCCCATTGTTGAAATAGTCTCTGAGTGCTCTTTGTTATTGCTCCATGATCCCACGGTAAAGCTCCCTACATTCTCCATGTTGTTACTACCACCAACATCATTCCCGTTTCCCAAGACTACTTGAGACAGAGTTTCCTGTCTTTTGAGACTTAGTTGAGAATTCAGTCTGGACATACATTGCCTGCTTTCAAGAACACCACTATGACAACTTCCTGAGCTTAATGGAACTTGAAATCCTACATTGATGTGGTTGGCAAAATGGCAAATAATGCATAATGGTGACTTGGTAGACATGTTCTATAGTTTTAATTAAGTGTCTAGCATTTTCACAGATTAGACACGATTTGGTAATCAGAAGTGTTAGAATTACATAAAGTCAAACGAGATCAACGGTTAAAAAGAGACATTATACTGAAATTGATTAGTAATTAACTTTGTGCCCTTGTTTTTTTAGAATGATTACTAAATAACTACGTAGCCTCTTTTTAAACTGAAAAAAACCGAAGAGAACTGGTAAGGAATGCTTACCGTTATTATCACCTACAGCGGCAGCAAGTTGGTTGAGAAGCCGGGCCGGCGAACTACTGTGACGCACCAATGATGAAGTAGACGCTCCGCCGCTACAGACGCCGTAAGGAAATGTCAGGTCGCGGGAATCGTAAGATACCTCGATGGTAGAAGCTGCGGCGGCTTTATCATTATCGCCATGCTCCGTTGACTTGCTTGACGCACCCGTTCCAGCCGAGTCAGAGAAGTCACGGGAAGTACCGGTCGGAGAAGGGTGTGAGGTGGGGAGGACGGAGTGGTCAAACGCGCCTCCATTGATGACGGAGTCAATGGCATCCAACCAGTCGGAGCTGGGAGCTGAGCGGTAGCGCGAGAGTCCATCGCCGCCGCTGTGGCGGGCCGTTGAGCCGTGAGAGGATGAGAAGTTGGATGACGGATACATACGTTAGCAAGGGATTGGCGGTTGCCAAATGGAAATGGCAGTTTTTCTCTGAGAATTGAAAATGTAAGAGAAAGAGAGAAACAGAAAGGAAGTGGGGAAGTGGGAATATATTATTCGTATAAAGCTGTTGGGACGCAAGTTGCAGGAGAAAAGTCATGGGGTAGATTGCAGACAAACTTACAATCATCCCATTCATAAACGATAAGATGTGATTCCCATTCCATCACAATTTGTATTCTTTTTAAATGCAAATTTAGTGAAATTTCAATTATTCTAAGAAATAATGTCACTAAATAATCTGTCACTTAGTGAGATTATTAATATTTTCTTTCTAACTAGGATTAATTCACCTGTAATTGAGGAATTTGTAGGGTTGTAAAAGAATCAAATAAGTTCAATTTTGGAAATATGTTTGGACCTATTTATCCATTTTAGTTCTACTTCGAGCATTAACATCCTACCTCCGTCCCTTAAAACTTTGCCAAGTTTGACTGGCACGGGGATTAATAAAGTAAAAACTGTGTGGTTGAGGTTTGTGCAGAGGAGAGAGAATTAACTGGAACCACAAATTCTTTACTTAAAAGGGAAAGTGGCAAAGTTAATGGGACATCCAAAAAAGGAAAGTTGGCAAAATTTTAAGGGACGGAGAAGTAATGACTTGTGTTAAGAGTACGTAGGAATATGATTGGTTTGACTTTCCAAAATATGTTTTGGTTTTAGGACATCTAATTAACACTTTTCAAGTGTTTTTTTACGAGTACGTAGAAATGTGATTCATTCTGACTTTCCAAAATCATAGAGACATAGAGTTAAACAAATCATGTGAGAACGTCCAACAAATCATAAAGTCCAATGAATCTTTAGAAGTGGTAGAAATATGATTCGTTCCGACTTTCCAAAATCGGAAGTGGTAGAAATACATCAAGTCAAATGAATCATATTTCTACATACTGTTAACGGCTTCGAGAAATAAAGTGGTCTGCAATATAATTATGTGAGTTTGTGTTTTTTACTGTCTCCAAAATATGTTTTGCTTGGTGTAGTCCACAATAGAATACAGATAACTAATTAACCCACAAATACGGGGACCCTCATCTTGTAGATGAAGATGTAAATACTGTTGAGGTATTTGAAAAGCACAAAAGAGAAGGAACAATTAATCCACCACATGAAAAAGAAGAAAAATAGTTGTTTGGTGCTAACTGATTGTAGACGAGTTCCATTTGACAACATTACCCTCCTTTATCTTGGAATTGCAAACCTGCTGCAATGCACAAAACCATTGCAACAAATTAAGACATCAATCACATTAAAACCAAGTCTCTTAATAAAACTGATCTCAACCTTTAGCTAATCCTATAACAGAAGTTAAGTTTATAAAACTTTTTCGAAGTGCATATAAAGACCTATTACATATGTTAATAAAATAAAATCCTTGAATAGTCATTCAATTGCTTTTGTTAAAATTCGTCACCCCCTCTGTCAATTCGTTAACAATGTGCGACTAAAAATGATATATGAGAAGAAAGTCACGGAAAGGATGTGACTATTTGCAGAAGTTGAGAAAGAGATACATATTGTATTTGGCATGATTACATATTTGAAGGTGTAGAAAGAGCAATTTACCATTCTTAGATTTATTAACCCTTCACCGGTAATTGAGTGGGGCTGAAACTGATAAAAGAGGATGAAGAACCTTTGCCATACAGATACCATGCCCGATCAACCTCCTGGCCTTTACTATATAATCATGTATTCTATAAAATGGTTGTCATAATGTTGTTGTTGATATCATTTGGGTTTTAGCCCAACAGTTTAAATTTAAGGCATCCTTGAGTGAACATATCATGTAAAAAATTATACTCTGGTTGGATCTCTTAGTTATAATTATACATGTTGTAATACTAACTTTGCTTGCCCTTCCAAATGTAGATTGGGGAAGCGTGTTATTTCAATGAAATCACAATGCCAGAATATCACAAAACATTTGACTTGGAATAGTGACGCGTTATTTGAATTGCCCATGATCAATTTATAAAGTCATCTATGTGGCATGAAGAAAAGGGACGATCCTTAAGTAACAACAATAGTCACCGTGTAGGCATGAAGAAAAGGGACGATCCTTAAGTAACTCTTTATGGTGCAATCATAAACAAGTCTGTTGTTTAATTATCTTAGCATATGAGGAGGGGAAGGGATTACATTATGTCTCCACAATGGTGTCTCTATATTATAGAACGATGTATTTAATGGAGCAAACTTTCAATGGCTAGGTTTTGGGTTAATAATTAAGATATTCAACATTCCCCACCGTACCACCCGTTCTGCCATTCACCATTATCCCCAGAATATATGTCAATAACTGCAGAGAAAAAAACTATGATGACTATGAGACTATCCAGAGTTGAAAAAAGATAGGAAGTAACTAATAGTTAATATAAATTAGGAATCCTTGTCTGTTTTGGTAACTCTTATTTAATATAAATATACCTGCCAGGACTCCTATCGGAGTACCTCTTTCCCATTATTTCACATGGTATCAAGAGCCCAGACCTAATTTTTTTCAACTCACGACTTCCGCCGATATGAGCTCTTCCTCATCTTCGGACGACTCCAGTACCGTAGCCATGGCTTCCTCAGCCATGAGCTCGGCTGCCGCTGCAGTTTCTTCCTCTATGGCGCCGGCAACCTCCTCAATCCCTACCAGGATGACCGCTCAGCCAGAGCTCTCTACACCACGCTCTGCCGCTGCCTTCTCTCGTGTTATTGGTTCGCCGGGAATGATGCCAACATCATCGGCGTTCTTCCCTAATTTTCCCCCACCACCAACTTTCTCTGTGACTGATCACACTCCTCTGTTTCAGTCTATGCCACAAACCTTCCCGTGGCAGCCATCTTCACTCCAGCCGCAGGCAGGTCTCTTCCCTCCACCGCCGATTCCACCTCACATCCCTCTCACTGGAACGGTCCAAGAAGCAGCCCCTTCCTTTTTCGGATCCACTTTTTCTGGCTCTCCAGGAGTAATTCGACCAGTAGATCAACCGGGGTTTGGGTCCCCGATGTCCACTCTTGCTCAGTCCGTTTCCCATATCACTACTGTCTCTCAAATTGTCACCATCAAATTGAAGGCAGTCGAGGACTATCTCACCTGGCGTACTCAATTTGAATCTTTCTTGGTGTCTCAAGGTCTCTTTGGAATTGTTGATGGCTCAATTCAGGTACCCCCTATGTACAACGTTGATTTTCAGAATCGTCAAGTTCCAAACACCGAATATTATTATTGGCTACGGGTAGATCAAACAATTCGATGTTGGTTGTTTGCTACTCTAACCCGGGATGTGTTAGTTGATGTTCATGATTTAAAACATTCAGCTGCTATCTGGGCTAGACTTCAGACTAGATTTATGTCTGCCAGTTTACCCCGATGCATGGAACTTAAACGATTACTGTCATCTCTTAAAAAGAAAGAGACTCAATCAATGGAAAGTTATTTAAGGGAAATCAAAAATTTAGTTGATGCTCTCGCGGCAATTAATTCTCCTGTCTCGGATAAAGAACTACTTCAATCTATTCTCGCTGGCTTGGGACCGGATTATAAGCCCCTTGTAACTACGGTCTCGTTATTTCCCGAGCAATTTCCTTTCCATATTTTGGAACCACGTTTACTTGAAGCAGAACAACAACTCCTGTCTGAGCGTCAGCAACAGGCAGCCATTGGTCATCAAGCATTTCTGGTAGCTGCAGCTGGGGGGCAGCCACCGGCTGGATATGCCGCTCGCGGCAGGGGAGGCCGTGGTCGCGGTCGCGGTCGCCAGGGCCGGGGTCGCGGCAGAGGACATCCACAGCAGCAGTTTGGCTTTCAGCACCAGGCCGTGCCATACTTTTGTGCACAACAGCCGGCAGGACCTCAGCTACCTCATGGTGGATCCTCGGCAGCATCTGGGTCTGGCCAGCAGCAGGGCTTCGGACAGCAGGTCTTCGCACAACATCAGGCTTCTATTCAGGGGGTGCAATCTACTCGCCCGGGCACTTCAGGTTCTGCTAGTAATTCTGTTTTGTCAACTTTAAATATTAATCCCTATTTTATTTATGATACTCACGCTAGCTCTGCAGGTTTTTCACCGGGTGAGGGCATTCTTGGGTCTGTTCCATCGCCTGTTGTCTGTCAGCTTTGTTTCTCTGCAGGTCACTCTGCACTTCAGTGTCCTTCTCGGTATGCTCCACCGTCTGCACCAGCTCTATTGACTTCTAACGGTGACTCAAATCCTGCTTTATGGTATCCTGACTCTGGAGCTTCAGCTCACATGACCCCTACGGAAGGTATTTTAGTTAATAAATCAATTTACACTGGACCACTTTCTGTTAGTGTTGCTAATGGCTCTAAACTTCCCATTGCTAATATTGGAGATGTTCATTTAAATTCTTCCAGCCGTCCTCTCACGCTAAAATCTGTTTTTCATGTGCCTAACATTAAATTTAATTTGTTATCTATTCAAAAACTTTGTGCTGATAACAACTGTCGTAATTTTTGATAAAAATTCTTTTTTTGTTAAGGACAAAATTTCGGGGAAGGTCCTTCTGGAAGCTCCTAGTCATGGTCATCTCTATCCAGTCAGCCTCCGTCCTCAGCCACCGTTTGCCTTGTCTTCTCTAGCTTTATCTGGCCCCATTTGGCATCGTAGATTAGGCCACTGTGGCACTTCTATTTTACGTGTTTTACAAAGTCAGCACCATATCTGTAGTAGCTCTAGTTTCTCTCATGACTGTATTTCTTGCCGATTAGGCAAATCTCAACGTTTACCCTTTATGGATGCTAGTCATAATTCTACTATGCCTTTGCAATTAATTCATTCTGATGTTTGGCAATCTCCAGTTTTATCCAATTTGGGATTTAAATATTATGTCTGTTTTATTGATGATTTTTCTCGCTATACTTGGTTATACCCCATGCGCACCAAGGCAGAAGTCTTTCTTCATTTTAAACATTTTAAAGCTTTAGTTGAAAATCTTTTTAATACTAGAATTAAAATTTTTCAAAGTGATGGAGGGGGTGAATTTGTAAATTCTACTATGCAGCAATTTTTTGATATTCATGGGATTTATTTTCGCAAATCATGTCCAGACACACCTCAACAAAATGGGGTTGCTGAACGTAAACATCGACATCTACTAGAACTCACTAGGACTATGCTTCTTGAAGCTTCTATTCCTAGTCAATTCTGGGTGGATGCCATTTTTACGGCTACATATATTATTAACAGGCTGCCCTCTCCTTTACTTGGTCACTCTTCTCCATATGAAAGACTTTTTCAAAAATCTCCGGACTATGCCTTCATGCGTGTGTTTGGGTGCTCTTGTTTTCCCAATATTTCTGCCTCATCAGCAAATAAACTCTCAGCCCGTTCTGTTCATTGTGTTTTTATTGGTTATGCATCTGGCTATAAAGGGTATCGTTGTCTTGAACCTAAGTCAGGAAGAGTATATGTCAGTCGTCATGTTAGATTCTTTGAAAATATTTTTCCTTTCACCTCCTTACGTTCGTCCTCACCTGAGTCATCCCCCTCCAATTCTACCTCTATTGCCAATTCTGAGTTCTTCCTTACTAATACCCTTCGGCCGCAGATACCCCCACCTCGCCTCACTTCCCAGGTCCCCTTAGCACACTCACTACCTATATCATACTCTACTTCTCCTGCACAAAGTCAAAATCCACCCACGGTCATCTGCTCTTCAGACACAACCGAGACCAGCCCCATTCCCATACCTTCGGTCCTCCCAGCCAATGCCCAGATCAGTCCACCACCCTCGGCCACATCAGCCCACGACCAGTCCAGTCACCAGTCCAGTCCACCATCCTCCCCACCCTCGGCCACCGCGGTCGGTTCAGATTCCTCTCCCACCACCAGCCCACCAATGCCCCGATTTAATTTACATCCTATGCAAACCCGGGCCAAGTCAGGTATTTTTAAACCCAAATCAATTTTTACATTAAACACAGTTGTCAGTGCCGCTGATCCGACTTGCTTTTCTGAGGCACAAAAATATTTAATTTGGCGTGAGGCTATGGCGGATGAATTTAATGCACTTATTTCTAATAATACTTGGGATTTAGTTCCATTTGATAGCTCTAAAAATGTGGTTGGGTCTAAGTGGATTTATAAAACTAAGTATAACTCCGATGGGTCTATTGAGCGTCATAAAGCACGTTTGGTTGCTCAAGGATTTAATCAGCAGGCTGGCGTAGATTTTTCTGAGACTTTTAGTCCTGTTGTTAAACCCACCACTGTTCGTATTGTTCTTACTCTTGCTATTTCTTTTGGGTGGGTTATGCGTCAATTAGATGTCAAAAATGCATTCCTTCATGGTCATCTTACGGAAGAGGTCTATATGCGTCAGCCGCGGGGTTTTGTTCATCCACAGTTTCCTCATCATATATGCCGTTTGCGAAAGGCCATATATGGTCTCAAACAGGCCCCGCGGGCATGGTTTCACCGTTTTAGTAGTTTCTTACTTACTCATAATTTTGTGTGTAGTAAGTCAGATAATTCGTTATTTATTTACCGTTATGGTCAGTCAGTTATGTATTTATTATTATATGTGGATGATATTATTATTACTGGCAATTCTCCATCTCTTGTGTCCTCTTTTATTACCTGTATTGCTTCTCACTTTGCTATGAAAGATCTCGGTGATCTTCATTATTTTTTGGGAGTCCAGGCTGTTCGAAATTCTAAAGGAGTTTTCTTGTCTCAACAAAAATATGTTTCTGATCTTCTCCTTCGTTTCCACTTACATACTCTCAAGTCTGTTCGTACCCCAGTCGCTACTCGTACATCTCTCTCCCTCACTGATGGTGAACTTCTTGTGGATGCTACGGAATATCGTAGTATGGTAGGTGCATTGCAGTATTTAACTTTGACAAGACCTGATATTACTTATGCAGTTCATTTAGTGTCTCAGTTTATGCATGCCCCACGCACCACTCACATGCTTGCTGTCAAGCGCATATTTCGTTATTTGCAGGGTACCATTGATCATGGATTATGGATTCAAAAGTCAGCCCGTTCCTTGTGTATTTTCGCCTATTCCGATGCTGATTGGGCAGGCTGTCCAGATACTTCCCGCTCTACCACAGGTTTTGCTATTTTTCTCGGACCTAATCTTGTATCTTGGAAGTCCAAGAAGCAACCTACGGTGTCCAAGTCTTCTACAGAGGCCGAATACCGCGCCATAGCATACACAGTACAGGACACCCTTCACATACGTTCGGTCCTATTTGAGCTCGGTTACTCTATCCGAGACCCTGTGCATTTATTTTGTGATAATATCTCGGCTTCATATTTGACTGCTAATCCTGTTCAGCATGCTCGCAGCAAGCATATTCAGATTGACTATCATTTTGTTCGTGAACGAGTTGCTCATGGTGATTTATTGGTGAAGTATGTTCCCACACACTTGCAACTTGCGGATATATTTACTAAAGCTCTATCTAGTCAGCAATTTACTTTCTTGAAAGACAACCTGCGCGTTGTATCTCCCGCACAGCTTGAGGGGGTGTAATAGTTAATATAAATTAGGAATCCTTGTCTGTTTTGGTAACTCTTATTTAATATAAATATACCTGCCAGGACTCCTATCGGAGTACCTCTTTCCCATTATTTCACAGTAACTTGGGGCCCGGCCTCGTGGGGGTTGATCACTAGCTCAACAATTCCTAGGTTTTAAGGAATGTTAGAATTATCCCACATATATGACTTTCGACCTAGCCTTCCCAGACACCCGTCTATCCCCTAAAACACGGATTGGGATCCTCCGTCGCACGACAGAGCGTTGCCTTGTGCAATTCAACGACAACAACACCAGGGGAAGGAGAGCTCTGGACTGCCAAAATTGGATCATGTGGCTAGATTAGCCAAGCACACTACATTTAGACCTGGTGTACACACTATTTTGGGTATACACTTTTACACATGTCTATGTAAAAGTATAAAAGTATGTACACAAAAAGTATTTTTGAGCACACTACCCGACCACCCTGCCAAGCAGAGAAACCCAATCCCTGAAACACCGCATATTTTATCCTTCAAACTGTGTAATATTCCTAGGAAGCTTACCGACCAATATTCATTGATTTGGCAAAAACTTTGGAGTTGTTTTAATGAGAGCAAAAACAAATGCATTACACATTTTCTATTTCCATTTGCAAAATAACGAATATATTGTATGATTTTTTTTAATTTTTAAGTTCACTTTTCACCAACATCAACATCAACTTTCCTGTTTTTTGTTTTTAGGTTCATTTTAAAAATCACACTTCTATCTTGTTTAGTATGTTTGTTACACTTGTAACAAAAAATCTCACCCTTAGGTTTTTGACATTGTGACACACTAAGTACACCAAGTAGCCTGCTATTATATTAGTTTAACTAGAGTTCATTAATAAATAGTACGTACAAGTTAACATATACAACATGGATATGGAAATACACTTATTCAATTCGGTCAATTAAGAAAACGAAATAATCCACAACAGCTTATACATTATTTAGCACATATGCTAAACAAGATAGGTCGTTCAAACGAAGACTCTTGGAACGGAGGCTACAGGTTTGCAGTCCACCTCTCGAAGCACAGTCCGGATGCCTTTCCCACCTCCATTTGCCAAAGGATGGACCCCACTCTCGGGCCCACTCATGTATGCTCTCTTCTCCCTTTCCTTTGCAAATGACACCTTGAACCGCTTCTCTACATCTGCGCTCATGCATGCACCGTTACATTATTGAAATTAAAACTTATTATGCATGTTAACACAACATATTTGTACCAGTGGCGGAGCCAGAAGTCTATGAGTATGTTTGGCAAATGGCTTATCAGCCGGCTTTTAGCTTGTTTGACCCATTTCAGCTGTTTGATTGGTCAAAGAAGCTAATAATGATGTTTGGTAAATGGCTTTTAAAATTAGCTTGTTGAGTTTGAAAAGCTGAAAAAATGGATTGTTGAAGAAGCTAAGGGGGGCAGCTTATTCATTCGGCTGGTTCAATTTACACTCTATCAGCCATTTCGAAACAACCAATTTTACCAAACAATTATCTATAATCAGCTAACATAACCAGCCGGTCAAAACAGCTAACACAACCAGCTGTTAGGAAACAGCTGACATAACCAGCTAACAACAACAGCTAACAGTCATTTGCCAAACATACCCTATAGTTAAAGGGGCCGGTTCTTGAAAATTTTACTTTGCAGGGGCCAAAGTTTAAAATATCAACATATTTTCTATAGATTAAACGTATTTATACATAATATATAGTTAAGAATTTTTTTCCTTGCAGGGGCCGAGGCCCCCTCCAGCCCCTCCCTGTCTCCACCCCTGATTTGTACAGCCTTAATTATTCACGTCCAATTATGTTTTTGACATTTTTTCTATTTACAAATTGTACAAGCCTTATCATTCATGATTCATTCATTCATTTTCATTTCCGCAAAGGCTCCTACCTACGGTCGCAAAGGCTCCTACCTACGGTGGGGTAGAGAGAGTCGGATGTACGCAGTCTTACCCCTGTAAGAAAGGAAGAAAGGAGGGAAAGACTGTTTCCGGATGACTCATAGTTAAAATCGCGTCTAAAATTGCATGGACTGACTGCAATTAGAGATGAAATTGTACAAGCCTTATACACGTTCAAAATTGGAAACTAGTTGAAACTAATTAAACTGATTCAAGATTTCAATTCAAGAAAGGTTAATAACCGTTCCCATTTGGATTGAGATATACTCCAAAACGTGTTTAGCTTTATGTTTAAAAGTCTAATTTCATAGTTTTTGTGTTTGACTAGGCATTTTTTCTTCGGCATTGGTAAAGCAACGTTTATACATGCACCACCGATTCACCATCACCACATGCATCTAAAACCGCCAACGCCCACATATACGGCGTTTGGAAATAGAGTTTCAACAAAAGAAAATGTCGGTTTGACCCATTTGGTGTTGTGTAAATGATGAAAACACCGTTAATCACTCAAATGGAAACTCTACAAATTAAATAGCTGTTTGGTCCCAATGTTTTGAATGGAAACTCTACAAATTAGAAGTTTAGCATTTTGAAAATGGCGTTTTCAAAACAACTAAATTACTAAACTTATTCTGGCAACTCACCAACTTATTCCGTTAGTCAAACGATCAAATCAGCTGATTGATTCGCTATTAACAACTCGATAATTTCAAAACAACTAAATTACTAAACTTATTCTGGCAACTCGCCAACTTATTCCGCTAGTCAAACGGTCAAATCAGTTGATTGATTTGCTATTAACGACTCGATAACATGACATGCTATTTGTTAACCACAAAATGCCAAACACATTCCTTGCTCTTTGACTATCAAGGACTATCAAGGGCGGTCGTCAGTGGTGGTGGTTGAATTGATTGAAAAAATTTGGACGGGCTTGCAGAATGATGCGGTATTGAATAAACGCCGATAGTAGTTACCCCTTTCTTCCATTTTCCTGTTTTACTTTCCCTTTTTGGATTATCCTAAAATAAATCTTACATTTTTTTAGAATAAATATATGCTCAAGCTATTTCACTTTGCTATAATCAAATAAGGAGTATCACTTATGATATTTTAATGATGTCAAATTAAAAGAACAAATAAATTGAAGGAGAAGTACTTCAATTCATACTATAATTAGATAACTAATGCATGAATGATTTACCTTGAGCGAGGTTATCATAGAGCTGGCCATCCCTAGTAATTGCCATCATGATTTGAGGGATTCCAAGGGGGAGCTCATCGCCCCGATCCACCTGCCAAAAGTGGATGGTCTTACCGTACGTTTTGCACACCTTCTCCATGTCCTTCCGCTCGATCGGCCCGGGCACCCCCGGCATGAACAGCACCCCGCTCTTCACCTCGAACTCGTGGGAATGCCATAGCTTCTTCTCCTCGTCCGGCAGCGTCATGAACAGCGCCTCCGACACCATGTACTCTACCCCGATCAGCCTCCCGTCCGCGTCCGGCCGGTCGTACAGCAGGCACTGCCGGAACTCCTCGTTTAGGTGCGCGCAGTAATGGTGCGTCTCCACTTGCCGCGTCATGTCGTCGCCATAGTAGTGAAACCTGATCCAACAAAATCAAATGTGCATATGCTATTGAGAACGATTTAATTCACAAAATCTTTAGTATGACAATTTTTATGAACCGTTCTTCGTGTACGTTTGAGCGTGTAAATGTGACAATCTACTACGTGCAATGATTTGAGTATGAAACTTTGCATGAGGAATTCACTATGTAAACATGTAAAATTGGTGTAAAAAAGACATGTAAATAATCACTTGTACAGTTGTACTGGAGAAAATTTCCATTTTTACTACTACGTACGTATATAGTACTACGTATAAATACAAAAAGAGTAGTTGTAATAGTGTATAATTTTCAAAATTATTGAGGGTAATGGGAAGATTGAGAAATTGGAAGATTTTTTTTGTTAAGACTATGATTGTTTAATGTAATTTTTGAATATATAAATTCGACTTTCACCATCGATCAATCTAAGACAACATTAAAATTCTGAAATTGCAAACTAATTTGATTCTTGGAAGTATATTATATATGGACATAGTTCTAATCATCTAGAAATTGGAAAGGGATGATAAATGGATGGAGGGAAGGCTGACGCGCATAAGTGGTGGTGGATGTTGTTGACGGGGCCGAAGCTCTGGACGGCGGCGGTGGCTGTTTCGAGGATGGCGGTGCCGGTGTGGGTTGCTTCTCCGGGAACTTCCGGGTGCGTCGACACGTTCACGGCTTCCATTTTAATTCGTTGTTCTTGGATCGAAATACGGAGTATGAAACAAGTGTACAACATTTAACTTATAGATACATTATACATTACGAGTATTCATTTGTTTAACTAACCTGGCAAGACACTCCTCGATCTCACAAGGAGACACGTGTCTTGGTAGAGATCAACACCTGGCAAGTAGTGCTGTAGCACACAAATCTCAGCGAAGTAGTAGTATATACTTGCATGAACGAGGCTCAAATTGAAAATCATGATCACATGAATATATTTTTCTGTCCGTTCCTTGTTACTTTGCAAACTTTCCATTTTTGAACTTCTCACTAATTACTTTATTATTTTCCATTTATTCTCTCTCCTTTGCACAAAACTCGATCAGCCACACAGTTTTTACTTTATTATTCTCCGTGTCGGTACAACTTGGCAAAGTTATTAGAGATGAAGGGAGTATCACATTGGAAATTATTAAGGTTTCAAATGAAACAAATTGAACATTATGATTACATATGTATCTCATATTGGACAATAAAATTTCATAATTCAAAGTTTTTGGACATTTCTTAATAAAAATTGTTAGCCTTTCAGTCCAAGTAAAAACACTCTTAGCCGGATCACGGCTTATACCGGCACTTCTTTCCACTTGACCACGAACGTATCTAGTTATAATTCTCATACTTGTTATATAAGATTCCTTTACTTTACACAAAAATATATGTATAACTTTAAAATAAATACATACACGGGTTGGATGGGTGTTGAGTGGGGGCAGCTGCCTGCATGCCCCACCCCCACTTTGGATACGCCCCTGCCTCTAGCTGCCACTACTGTATCCCCATCGCCGCCGAGTAGCCGTAGTCGTGGGGCCATGTCGTACCGCCACCTGCACCTCCTCCCCGCTGCCCATTGTCTCTTCCACCATGGACGCACTTCCTCGTTTTAGGTTTGATCTGAGTATTTTGGTCTCCACACAGATTGGGATTTGGGAGTAGAAGGGCTGGGACACCTGAGAGGAGTCGGTAAAGAGAGTAGACATAGAGTTGAAGGGAGTAGGGGTAAACTTAATTGGACTGGCGGAAAAATATAATCATATTTAAGTATTAAAATCGTTGATGTCCTATTTAGGTATGTGGACATTTTTAGTCCTATACCCAACCATTTCTCTATTAAAAAAACAAACCATCATGCAATAAGAAATAACCAACATTATTAAGATCACAAAGATACAAATTGAAAGTAAAACGATCGAAAAGATCTGAGAAGACCACCACTACCTGACGACCTTAGTGACCTAGATACACACGTACAACTATTTAATTTGAAGCTTAAAGTACCACTTACTATCTACTTCAATTCGGTATTATACATCGCAATATATATGTATATATCCTGATAACTGATTACATATATTAATCAAATGACGAGTAATTAAGCAAGTAAATATGGGTACATGCATGGATCGGATCATACGGAGTATATGTAGTAATAATAATTCCAAAAATTAGACAAGCTGATCGAGTCGTCAGAAGCGCGCGCTGCTCGCTCGAGCTGGATCACGCATTCATTCCCTTCATTTTTCTTTTCATTGTTTACGCCGGCACCGTTCCGAGATAAAATATATTATATTGCAACAGCCAAAAGGCCGAGAGCCAACGCAACTGCAAGGCACGCGCCCACCAGAGCTGGTGTAGACAAAGCTGCAGATACGTGACCAAAGCAAAGACAAAAACTAATGACAAAGTAAAATGTGGTAATCACACGTTTCCTCATTTTGATAGATTTCGTGAATATGTAATTGATCGAATGAATTGGAATGAGGTAGCTAGCAAGGTTTCCACCACCATTTATATACATAGCTCGGTAGAAGACGATGGAGCTTAATTTGTAATTAGGGCCGGGGTACGTCATGCATGCTGTAGCGGTATTTCAAAAGACCCGCATACTAATTAAAAAGAAAGCCAAGTAATACTCGTTAATGTCAACAAATCATCATGATTAAGTGAGCATTAATATACCATGGAATTAATCTTCCTATATACAAACCGCTGTGGATCAGCAGCCAAATTTCCCGCCCATTCTATTGAAAAAAACGGGTCAACCCGGGTAAAAAACGGGTCTATAGCTAAGGTCAACTAAAGCATTCAATGCTTGAGTCAAATCTGCTCCAACAATTAAATGCAAAGTAAAATACGGCTGTGAGGATTTCAGATTTGAGCTTTGAAGTACAAATGCATTTAATGAATTGCAAATCAGGAATACTTCGTGGGTCACTTTATTAGCTGTCCATCTTATCAAAACTTTTCAACTACCAATTAAATTGTTGTGTTCAAACTCTAGCAAATGTATTTCGGCCAAATTCAAATTTGTGTAGCTAATTGGCAGAGTACTTCTTTTCAAAAGGCTTTACATTAAATGATGTGTACTCTCATATCTTCTTGAGCCAACCAATATATAAAATAAGACCTTTAAAGTATATTGTGATTAATGCTATGCAAAAGTTTAGTACTCTAATATCTTCTTGAGCCGCACAACATATGGAACATGATCTTCAAAGTACATTGACATTAAATGCAAAGCAACAATGCAAGCTTATTTCGTACTAAGACTGCAAAAATATTAGACAGTTGGTTAATGGGTGTTCTTTGCCTAGCGAGTATTAAATAAACCTATTCACAACATACAGCCTAAGTTTCAGTATAAATAGATCAACTCATTCAATTCATTTTCCATCCCACATTCCCACCATACCTAATGTTCCCATTATCCCATTCAAAGATGAGATCATACCAAATCCAGTGGATATTGTAACCCAGGATTGCAAGAGTATTTGAGGTTTGAGACCATTCCAAGGGAGAGAGCTAAGGACCGATTTACCATGATAAAAGGTATAGCTACTTTTTTTCAAACTTGGAGAGGAAATATATTTGGGTTAACACACATGATAAATAACATTGAGAAGATGGGTTGTTCATAATGTGTTCCTTAAAAACTGCTTTTCAAAGCCAGAATAAAACTGTTGCATTTGCATTTATGACTTATGTGTCATTTTATAGGAAAAGCCAGGATTGTGTTCTTGAGGCTGACTTCAACAACGTTTAGAGGGAGGTCAGTTCATGCTACTGGGAAACACCACAAATTCAGAATCTACAAGCCAAAAATCAAAGAAGATGGAGTATTAGAAAGATTTCAGATGAATACAAATTTTGTTTGAGACAACTCAAAAGTACTTGGATATGGAATTCTGAAATTGCAAGTTTCTTGGGCTTTCAAAATATATAAGAATGTTTTTATAAAGAACTGGATGTTTAGAGAGAATTAATTTAAAGAGTCAATAACATTAGAAAAAATATTATGATCAAAGTCAAGATCAATTTTAGACATAATTTATTTAAATCATGATCATAGACATTACTTATGTACTCTTTCAACAGATATTTTTTTCAAGGATGTGATGATAAGAAGACAAAAATGGATATATTATATCAAATTTATTCTAATTGCTTTTTATCTTCAGTATTACCAAAATATACTCTGGTAAATGTAAATTTGGTTAATAGTTGTTAATAAAAGCTACACGAAGAAGATCCGAGGAAATTTGAAAAAGAAAATTTTGACATAGAATTCATTTTATAAAATTGAAACCGAATGATTCTTAGGTTATAAGTTCAATTATTTTAAAAAATCATTAGTTATAAAAAATCATTAACCGAATGATGCTTAGGTTATAAAATTAACTTTCACTTAAAGTTGTAAAAAAGCTTTTCAAAGACGAAACTGGAGAATCAAACAAAAGATATACTTTACCAACATCAAATTAAAAAACAAAAATCATGTTCATCGGTCACCATACACAGATCTGATATTTCGACAGACCTGACCACGAAATGGTATACCCGACAAGATTTTTTTATCCTCAAACCGCAAAAATATCAACAGATCTATAGATGTTGGTAAAATCTTTGAAAACCGATTCGTCAATAGACTTAAGTCCATTAATAAAAGTCATGCATGCGGAAAAAATAAGTAAGATTTGGTGAAACAGATTACAAGAACACTCAGTCAAATGAGATATGTGAAAATTTGTAGAAAATATACACATGAACTGTTGAAAACAAAGAAAATGTTTGAGTATTAATGTTTTGAAAGAGGATATACCAAACGACTGAGACCAACCGCAGAATCCACGAACGATGATAACCGACGCTTAACATCCAGCGTTAATGCCGCACCGACCTTCACAGACGACCAGAAAAACGGTGAAAGTGAAGGGCTAGACGAAGGACTACCGAAGGGGTAGGTTGTGTCGTTGTGTACGGAGGTTGCCAAAGAGAGGGGTGAATGATCTGGAGACCATCGGTCTGATGGTGTAACCGATGAGTCTCCAGGGAATGGGGGGATTATACATTAAGGAGGTTGGGTCGGGTAGGTTTAAGGATTTAATGTGAGGGTGGATAGGGTTGCTGGGTTGGGTAGGGTTAGGCACAAATATTTAAAATAATTGGGTTGTTGGGTCAAAAAGGCTGGAATTGAGGTCCAATTGAAGTTCAATTAAAGCTATAAATTGCTGGTCCTAATTCTTAGAGTATTAAAATTATAATTTTAATAAAATCCAAAAGTGTTTAAATTTTTATTAATAATTCTTAATTAATAATTGCTTTTAATTTTTTAACAATTGAAGGTTTAATTCGAATAAAACACAAAATGATTTAAGTTTTTTATGATGTCATTGATTTCTTTTTATTAATATTTGTTAATTTTTAAAATTGAAATTATTTTGTTTTATAATGAATTATTATTATTATTATTATTATTATTATTATTATTATTTGTAATTATGGATTATAAGTGTGGTTGAGTTCCTTTTATTAGGACATTGGCTTTATGTAATTAAAGATTAAAGATTTGAGAAGTGTATCACAAAATATTGTTTTGTGATGAGGATGATCAAGAGATTGATTATACTGCTAATGTTGTTTACAAAAAAGTTTTTCAGAGTTTGTAGTTTGATCTTGAACACTCATCATTTTACTTCTCACTTTCTACTTTAATTTCAAATGTCATATCTCTTTTAAAATACTCCGTATTTACAGTTTCCCTTATTGATGATGTTTTAATTTCTCTTTAACTACATACACTTATTTTGTTACTAACCACTTTATTTTGAGTTCAATTACTTTTACGTTTTTATAGTACACTTCTTAATAACATGTTGGTAAATTTACATCCGCGCATCGCGCGGGTGAGAATCTAGTATATTACAACAGATTGTCCTAAATAGAAGTAAAAACGTTTTAAAATTTCAAAATAGGAATTCCTTGAATTTCTTGAATAGGAATAATCTGTCAAGTTTGAAAAAAAATTCCATGTTGAAAGTCTTGTAATGCCAAACTTGGCAGGAATTTATTCTTATTCAAGGAATAAAAAACATGATACTCATATTTTGGAATTTCAAAACATTTTAACTCATATTTAGGAAATTCTCTCTATACTTAATTCTCTATTACTACCTTGATCCCATACAAAGATTTACAGAAATTACCCCAAATAGAGTAAAACTATGGAAAAAATAAAAAAAATAGGACATCTTATGCATTTATTTCAAAATAAGATCATATTACTCCTATACGAAACATACCTATTTTTTCATTTCATTCTTACCCCTTCTTTAAATATGAGTAAAAGATAGTCAAAAGTCATAATTAAATGTTTTAATTCATAATAAAATATTTATAAAAAATTTAAAAAAAAATTAATAAAAAATTAATAAAAAATAGTAAATATCCATAAAAAAAATATGGATGCCTTTCTCACCGCCTGTACTGTCTCTCTGCACCACCACTTCCGACCGATGTAAAAAATGTCATTTGTTTTAAAAAATATGTAAAAAAATGGCATATTACTCTTTGATAGAGTCAAAATTTTCATTGAATCTGCCATAAATAGGAATTCCTAATGCATGTGGCATTTCCCCCGGTGACAGGAAATGATTTTT